AATGGACTTAATGGGATGATCTGGGAACTGTGCTCGCAACTTAATTATCTGAGCAAGAAGTCTCGCAAAAGCTACATTTCGAGTAGACAATAGGCAAACATGTGACCATCGGGTAGATGCATCAACCAAAACCATAAAATATCGAAATGGTCCACAAGTTGGTTGAATAGGTCCACAAATATCCCCTTGAATTCTTTGCAAAAATGATGGGGATTCATCATCAACCTTTAGTTGTGATGGTCTAATTACCAACTTCCCTTGGGAACAAGCCTTGCAAGGATTATCATTCGAGACATTAATGTGTTTGCTCAGTAATGGATGTCCATTAGAGTTGGTAATGATTCTACGCATCATGGTAGATCCTGGATGACCTAGACGGTCATGCCAAAGCATATAAACCTTTGAATCAATGAACTTCTGGTTCATGACAGTATATTGCCTCAACTGTCTTTATGTATGTACAATACAATCCACTCGATAAACCATGCAACTTCTCCAATATACGCTTCTGGGTATCATTGGAGGTAATGCATAAATATTCCACATTTTCTACACTTTTCGTTTCAAGGTGGTATCCATTTAAACGTATGTCTTTAAAACTCAACAAATTTCGAATGGACTGAGTAGCATATAATGCATTCTTTATAGACAATATTGTTCCATTTGGTAACATAATCTGGGCTTTTCCTGAGCCTTCAATTACATCTGATGGTCCTGATATTGTTGTTACCTTTACTTTTGCAAGTACCAAATTTGAGAAATACTTTCGGTCTCGAAGTATTGAATGCGTGGTTGCGCTATCTGCAAGACAAAAGTCTCCGCCATTGATCTTGTTTTGAGAACAACCATAATTTTTATTCATGATCTCTGAGTAAAGAAAAAGCAGTTTATTCATACTGGAATACTACTTTTATTGAATTGAAAATGCGAGCATTAAACCACAGGTACAAATAACATGAGTACATTAAACATAAATAATTCAATCGGACCCATAAACTTCATTCCCTCTTTCATTAATAAAGTCTGTAGCATCCAGGTGGGTTGTGTTTAACTGTCCTGATAAATTGGTCACTGGATCAGGGGTTTCCATTGGTTTAGCCTGGTCAAGGAAATTGATCTCGACACCCTTTTCCTTGAAGGAGGCTTGATATAGTTCCACCAGATGCTTTGGGGTGCGACAAGTACGCGCCCAATGTCCGTTGCCACCACACCTATGGCAACCTCCTTCATGACTTCTAGGAGTGTTCACATGAGCTTTTCCTTTCTGGCGATTGGTATTTTTAAAGCTCGGGCCTGGATTATACCTTGGAACCTGGTTGTGAAACTGGACACCATGGTTCTTGCTTTTCCCTTTCCACCGACCTTGCTTGTGGCCACGTCCTCGTTTGTAATTATTGCCACGAGAGGATATGGTATTCCTTTCAAGGGAAGCAACATTCACTTCTGGGAACGGTGCTGATCCAGTAGGTCGGGAATTATGGTTTTTCATGAGAAGCTCATTGTTCTGTTCAGCTACCAGGAGCACAGATATCAGCTGGTTGTATTCAGTGAAGCCTCGCGCTCTATACTGTTGTTGCAGTACCATGTTAGAGGCGTGGAATGTGCTGAAAGTCTTTTCCAATAACATCTCCTCAGTGATAGTATCCCCACAGAGTTTCATCTGAGAGGTAATTCTGAACAACGCCGAATTGTACTCAGCCACTGATTTGAAATCCTGGATCCTCAGGTGTGTCCAGTCATAGCGAGCTTTTGGAAGAATCACCGTTGTCTGGTGATTGTATCTGCTTCTCAAGGCATTCCAAATGGCTAACGGATCTTCAACCGTTAAGTACTCGCTCTTTAGTGCCTCATCAAGATGACGACGAATAAAAATCATGGCCTTTACCCGATCTTGAGAGGATGAGCTGCTTTCTTCCTTGATGGTATCTCCAAGATTTGCTGCTTCCAGATGGATCTTGGTATCCAGTACCCATGTAAGGTAATTCTTTCCAGTAATGTCCAGGGCAGCAAAATCAAGCTTTGCCAAGTTTGCCATTTTCTTTTCTGAAAGAAAAATGAGGTGTGTAAGAACTTGCAATAATATGTGTACTGGAGAAATATATTGTTAGAACTTCTGGTTCTTACAAATTTTTGATCTTCAGGTCAAAATGATAAGTACTCGAAACTTCAGGCTCGAGATTTACACAATTAATGAGAAGGGCAATTGTACCGCACCATTCTCATCGAAATAAGTATAGGATGGGTGATTATTCCGCACTACTTTAAACAGCAGGAAAATTTAAATATGTAGAGCAAGGTGGACGATTATACCGCACCACCTAAAATTGCAATAAAATTTAAATATGCAAAGCAGGGTGGACGATTATACCGCACCACCTAAAATTGCGATAAAATTAAATATGCAAAGCAGGGTGGACGATTATACCGCACCACCTAAAATTGCGATAAAATTAAATATGTAAAGCAGGGTGGGTGATTATTTCACACCACCTAAAATTGCGATAAAATTAAATAACGGGAAAATTTAAATATGCAGGATAGAGCGGGCGATTATACCGCTCCACTTAAAATTTGCAGTAAAAATAGATCTGCAGTCCAAGATAGGCAATAGAACCGCACAATCTTGGATTGCATAAATAATCAGTGGGTTAGTAGTCAATATCTACACCAAACAAGAAATCAAAGATATAAGTGACTGTTAGTTGGAGAACTAGAAGTAAACATGGTGCAAACAGTTCTTCGCGAGGGTATACCCAGCAATTGAGGGATAGGAAGAAGAAGAACAGTAAAAACCTTAGAGGAAACATTTTTTTTTTCTTTCGGTGAAAGGAAATGAGAAATGATTAGAGAGTCGTGCTGATAACGTGTTATAAATAGGCAAAATTTATAGAGAGATAACCTTTACTCGGTGAAGGAACGAATCAGTTGCAGAGTAATATACCAACACAAGCTGTTGCAGAGGAAGTAATGTATATTATTGCTATTAGATATATTTCTCTTTTCTTTCTTCTTCTCATTCACTACTCTTTGCACAATTGAAGTGCTCTATTTATAGAGCTACTTCAATGGAAAATTACAAAACATTACTATTTAGCTTATGAGTATATAGTATACACATGTGATACTTTATTATACACATTACTATACACATGTGGGCAAACATACCCATTATTTACAACAAAACATTATAAAATTAAACTTTTTCATCTTTCAATTACGCAAGAGTAATATTATTCATATCATGTTTTTGTACCACATTTTCATATCATTTTAAGTGGTATTTGATATGGATAACCACATCATTTGAATTAATCAGATTTTTAAATTTAGTTCATTATTTAATAAACTAATAATTAAGAAAAACTAGTTAATTAAATTATGACTGTGGTATACGAGGAGTCTTTCTCATTCCTTTCCTTGGGTTTTGCAAATTTTTAAAATGATGTGGCCGTCCACATTAGATACCACCTAAGATGATATAAAAATATGGTATAAAAACATGATATGAATAACATTACTCATTATGAGTGCAATGAAATGCACATGTTGGGGTTCACTGAAAAGCTTGAAAGCTATCACAATCCCGATAAATGTAGCTAGTATCTTGGGTAAATTTGTCTGAGAGCATTTATAAGAGATGTCAAAATGTACACATCAATTATAACGGTAAAAAAAAGACCATACTAATATCTCCAACCGAAGTGTCAAATTCTATGTGGCGATGACATGAATTGGCAGCAAAAGAAGTTGCTGTCAAATTTGACAACAACTTCAAATGCTTTTTTTATTAATTATTAAATGTATTTTATTAATTTTTAATTAGTTTAATCATTTATTATAATTAATGTTGAGTTGACTGATGCAATTATCATATTTTTTTTTTCTTTTCAATCAAGAAAGGTGAACAGATTACTAATTAAACTTTAAATGTCATTTATTAAATTTAATTAGTTTAATAATTTATTTTATAAAATAATAAAATAATAATTTAATTGGATATATCGGTTGGAGAACAAAACTTTAAAAATATCAAAGTGCCACATAAGCTGTCAAAATTAAAATTTTTGGTTTAAAATTTGAAATTACCTTTGGAGATGGTTTTGCACAAATTCAAACTAAAAATGGCCCATCACTCATGATTGGGGGAGAATTCGTATGGCACCAGTACATCGATATGCTAACACTCGTGCTAATAACACAAAGTAATATGAAAAAAGTGAACACATATTCTAATATTATTGGTACATAACATGTACATCCTTAGAGTAGTATCTCATGCCAATAACACAAGGATATGTAAAAAAAATAAAAATGACCACATATTATAATATTATTAACACAAAAAACCACGTCACAATGTCTCTGTGTCATGCCAGTCCTCTCCGAAATGGACTGGAGATGACCGTGCTTATTGATGACCTCACCTAGCGTTACGTTTCTTAGACACCCGTTGCGACTCACTCACTCTCACTCTATTTGAATTCTCACTAATCCAGCTCTGACACTCACCATTACCATCTCTCAATAATCACCCATTCAAAGCTTGTCTGTCCCTCGTCCCTTCTTTTTTTTTTTTTTTTTTTTTTTTTTTACAATTGAATTCTGCGCACACTTTTAAAAGACCTATTATGATACACTACGTATCGTTGAATTATAATGATATAAGAATAAATGACAGATGAAAAATAAAAGATTTAAAAGTTGTGGAAGTCAAATCTTCATTCATAGCATTGAAGCCACACCCTATGATAGTGCCACAATATGGAGTAACTTACCTGCAATATACATTGTGTATATCTTTCTCCACACGCATACAATGTTTCTCTTGCAAAGAATAATATGTAGCTCATGCTACATTTTGTGCCCCTACCCCTGAGGAGTCATTATAGCACTTAATTTTTTTAGCCCATGCAATTTAGGACTGTAACCAATTAACTAAAGCCCAAAAGTCCCACCTTTTTGCACTCACGTAAATGCAAGCGAAGGTATGGATGGGTCAATGACACAAATTATACCTTTTATTTGTGATAATATCTTTTTTATAGAATACAAAACAAACACGTGAGCTTTAATCACAAATACATTTCCTCTTCGCAAGTTATCACAAATATTCAATCAACCTCTTTCCTCTTTGCCGACCGTAAAACATGTTATGGCAAGCTAAATTTCAGTTTCCGTATCGCACAAGGCACAACCTTGAGAGATACAAATTAGAGCTCAGAGACCAAATGATTACATAGGCTACTTTGAGTAAATTGCACTGTCAGCTATAGTTGCAAGGGACAAGAGGTTTTACTACTTCAAAAGTCACCTGATTTCGGACCTGGTCACCGTTTCAGTAAATTCTGCTCTTCACTCATCACTTGGACATATAGATGATGCACTGCCGCAAACTAGCCACAGGGATATGTTAGAAACCACTCTCCTCAACAGCATCTCCAGAATCCTTTGCCGATTGTACCATAGATCACATTTGCAGGATTTTCAATTGATTTTTGGCTTTGGTCGTCTTGGCCTTAATACAAGATACAGTACACCAAGCACAACCAAGTAAGCAGGAATCGTACTCAAATTAAACACCACGTGCACTTTTCTCTCTCTTGTGCAGTGGATTGGGTGGAGAACAGCGATGGTTGTATTTACTTTATCTACAAACCTGCAACAGAAATGAGAAGGGAAAAAAATAAACAGAAAATGAGTATGAGGGGTGATTTTCAGTTGGATCGGAAACAAGCATTCCAACCAATCCAAAAAGTTTCGGAATCAAACTATTAGCTCCAATTTCAGAATTTTAGATTATCGGAAAATTCAGAATCGGTTTTACTTTGGAATTTTTCAGAACATAATTCAGATCTCCTACATTATGCAAGACTTTGAAAACTTTTAATATGTATCCACCATTTTTTTTCTGAATTTTTGCGATATTTGTATGTTTTTTACATATGTGTATGACATAAAATCCTATTAGACAAGATAAAGTAGTATGTATAATCATACTCTTCATGTTTAATATATAACCGTATGATTAAATATACAAAATACGAAATAAAGCATATCTAAATATAACAATAAGCATTGATAAAATAAGGATATGCATGGTTTTTTCTAAGAGTACTAAGTTTGAGAAATTATCAGATCAGATAGGTTATAGGTATATTCCAATTGCCATCCAAATTTTTTGAAAATTTTTAGATTTGGAAATGTTCAGATTCGGAATGGAAATTTTTGGTTGGGATTAGAATTTCCAATCCAACTTGCACTCCCCTTTTCCCATATCAAAAGAAGATGCAACTTGGCAAACATTCAGGGTATCAATTTGGACTAATTGGATCAGTTTGAAATGGTTAACTTCTGTTAAGGACTGGAACTTTATAGAACAGTTTTTTTCACAAAAGAAAACAATAATAATAATTTGGACCATGAGCCATAGCTCAAGTTGAATTGGATGGGAGAAGTGAAGGCAGAGATCCTAGGTCCAAGTCTCCATGTAATACAAACGTAATAACGTGGACAGAGATATTTGTAGTTTAATAGTTTATTTTGAGAAGAATAGTTTAATAGTTTATCACTATCCATAACTGAACAATTGAAAAAAATAAAAGGACTTGGATAGCTAACCCTTTTGAGGCATCCTCTAAGGTATATAGAAGTCTCATGGCATCCGCATATCGCAATTCTCCCGTAACAGTTGATATCTGAAAACACCAACATTATCCGATTGTAAACTAGATGACTCCAGAAAATGCAAGACACTAGATTGTGACGTATAACAGAAAGTAATAGATCCTTTTACTTACACTTTTCCACCGGCTGACAACATAATTATACTTGTTAACTAGCTCGCCCTCCTGAGACTGAACAAGTTCAAAGGTTTTTTCAGCTAGTCTCAGTCAAGTCTGCAATCGTATGTACTCATGTTCCAATAAAATCGGACAACTGTTGATTGAACAATACAGTATTATGTACAAGGATAACCACATTTATGAGATTTCCAGAATGCTGCCACTCCTAATCACCATTAACTGATTATATTGCAAACAAAGTGAAAAGATAAACTGAGTGGTTTCAATTACTAATACACAAGGATACTTGTATGCTCCATGACTAGAAGATGAATGGCTGAATTGACCATTTGTATTGACTCTTCCAGAGTCGTGATAATATAGCTCCGAGCAATTGTATCAGACTGAAATTGTGAAATGTTCCAGCCTTGAGAAGTGATGGAATACGGGTTGCATCCGACTGACCACATCCAGTCCTGTCATGAAGCATGTAACAGCATGGTGAACAGCATTAAGCAACTATGTAATTAAACATGCATAAAAATGCAGTTAGAACTTCAACAATTTGGTAACATAAACTCATTATAGACTTCACTCAGTCCCAACCAAATGCATAAAATGTCTTTTAAACAAATTCTTCACTTGAGTTCTCGAGCCATCATTATTAGAAAAATTGTGACTAAATAATTCACACGAGTACAAAGCATTAGAAACTGTACATAACACAGGACAAGTCATAACACTTACACTATAAATCATAAGATACTGCATAGTAAAATAGAAAACTGTCACATTGTTAAGTCATGGGTGCCATACAAATCCCTCGACTGCACTATACCTCAATGTTTTGCATCCACTATAAATGAGCACAAGTAACTTATGTCAAGATTAAACAGACGTTTACAAAATGACTGTTTACACTATCAAGCAGAACATAAGGAGATAAAAGGTCGTACCCAGTGCACAAGGCTCCCGCTTTACGCAGAACATAAGGAGAAAAAGCTTTTTTTTTCCTACTTTCACAATGTGGCTTACCTCAATTGCAGTTTCATGGGCTTGACTGTAAGCTAGATGAAGGGGAAGCAAACCAGCTAGATGTTCAGAAGCAGCAGCCAAAGCAGCTTTGATGGGCCTCCTGCATACGGCACCATAGGCCATGAATATTATATGTCAATCCTTTCTTGGTTAAAGTAACGACTTTGGTTCAGAGTAATGACTTCAAATTGGTTCAGAGTTCAAATGCCATCTAAGATAATCAGGCATGCTAAGGCAGAAAAAGCACTTCCAGAAATGAATGACATTATCTGAACTTAACACATACTTTAAGAACGGGAAGTTAGAAGCACTTTTTTCAGATACAGACGTCAGTGAGATGCTCCAGCAGATTTGCAATTTTACAAATTTTTATTTATTTGGCAAAAGCCAATTGGTTTCAAGAAAATTAAAAAAAAAACACTCTTTGCAAACAATGGGCTCATAAGTCTACTATCATACAAGAAGTTCATCTAAGGAAATCCAAAGTAAAAAAAAAAAAAGGAGCAAAGCTACACTTCTAATGGAAAAAAAGCAGAAAGAAACAAGTAAACCACAGTTATTACAAAACTCCACTCCAGTGTAATCACACTAAAGAGACCGTCTCTTAGTTTTCAGACAAAGATACCCACTTTGCCAGAAATCAGGTGCTGCCCCCATAGAATCCGACAACAGAACACACTTGGTTAAACATACCATTTAAAACTATAGAAAATAGAATGTTTAATCAACAAGAAATACTATTAAACTAATAAGGGTAAAATTGTAAACAGTTGAGTTTGTTATAGGGTTGTAACAGTTCTGTAATTAGCTAGTGATTAGTTAGATAAAGATGTAATTAGTTGTTGGCACAAGTGAGTGAGTCACTAGTATATATATACACCAAACATGTAATCTTATTCTCTTATGAAGTATAACTTTCCTATTATGGTATCCTTCACCTAAGTCTCACGACCTTCGATCCTCTTTCTCCCACTTCCCGCTCATCTTCTTCTTGAAGCTTCAAACCTTAGAAATCCAGCCATGGCGACTTCAGGCTCTTCTTCCTCTAAATTTGCTTCTCCAATTCATCCTGCTCCGATGAATCGTTGCCCTAATTCTTCAACTTCCTCAACAATTTCGTCGATGATGATCTAGAATATTGGATCTATGGTTCCAATTAAGCACACCACAACGAACTATCTCACCTGGAGTGCTCTGTTCGCTCCGATCTTCCGCCGGTACAATCTCACCGGAATCATTGACAACACAATGACTGCTCCGCCGAAATTTCTTCTCGACTTGTATGGTAATCGCACCTCTACACTGAACCCTCAGTATGTTACTTGGTTTGAGAATGATCAGAACATTTTGATTTGGATTAACTATACTCTCGGATTCTCTCATTCTATACACTGTTGGAGTCAATTCGGCTTGTAACCTATGGTCAAAATTGAAATCACGACTCGCAACTGCATCGCAATCGCACATTCACAAGCTTCGTTCTCATCTTTGTAACATCACGAAGGGTGATTCTATGGTTGCGATCTATCTTCAACAAATTGAAGAAATTTCTGATGCATTGCAAATGTCGGAGCTTCGATCGACGACTCTGAGTTGATCTCTGTGATTTTACATGGTTGGCCCTTTGAGTATGAATCTTTTAACGATGCCATCCAATTTCCGCTTGGTTCCACTACCATTGATGAACTCCATGGCCTTCTTTTGAGCAAGGAGCTTCAGTTAACTACTTGCAAGAAAACCTCTCCGTTGGCATCAATTCAAGCCTTCAATTCTTCTACTAGTCTTCTTCAGGTTCTCATACTCAGAGTGCATCCAACTTTAATTCCTATGGTTCTCAACATCATGGCAATTTCTCCAACCCTAGGAATTATCATAATCGTGGAAATAAGAGGTATAATCAAGGCTTTCAGGGCAATCAAAGGTTTAATCAAGGCAATCAGGGTAATCACCAATACAATCGTGGCTCTCGTTCTCAATACAACAATTCTACCAGACAGATCTCTTGCCAAATGTGTCGCCAAATGGATCATGAAGCTGCAGAGTGCCCTCAACGCATGAATCCAACTTTTGGCACCAAGAATTCTCAAACTCCATACAATGCAACTACTACTCCTACATGGCTTCTTGATTTTGGTGCTCATTCTCACATGACTAATTCCTACAACAATCTACAAAACCCTGAGGCATACAATGGAGCTGAGCAAGTTTATATCGGTGATGGCAAAGGTTTGCCTATACTCAACTCTGTTTCATCTACACTTAATACTGCCTCTTATTGTTTTGATCTAAAAAATATCTTACATGTTCCATATCTTAAGCAATATTTGATTTCTGCAAACCAATTCATACTTGACAATTGGTGTTCTAGTCATTTGTATCCTTTTCACTTCCTTGTGAAGGATCTTTCTTCGGAGAAAACGCTCTTTAAAGGTCCCGTGAGAGCTGGATTCTACTCATTTCATGCATCTACTATTGCTGGAAATCAAGTTTGGGCCATTTGCTATTGGCATCAAAGATTGGGCCATTTCATGCATCTACTATAGCTGGACTTAGATGCATCTACTATTGGCATCAAAGATTGGGCCATCCTGCATTCAAAATATTAAATAAGCTAGCATCTAAGTCTTGTATTCCAGTTTCAAGTTCTTTAAATAAATCAGTGTGTTCTAGTTGTGCTCCAGGCAAATGTTCAAAGTTGTCATTTGCTCATGTTTCTTGTACATCAAGTAAGCCTCTAGAGCTTCTGCACACTGATGTATGGGTCCTGCACCACTTTTCTCTGTCAATGGATATCGATATTACATTATCTTTGTTGATGACTATACAAAATACACTTGGTTCTTTCCTCTTAAATCTAAGTCTGATGTGTTTGATACATTTGTGCAATTCAAAGCTTTGGTTGAGAATTTGTTAAGTTCCAAAATTGTTACTTTGGGGTCTTTCACATCAGTTAAGCTACCCTCACACACCAGAATAAAATGGTTGTGTTGAGCGCAAGCACATGCATCTAGTTGAAACTGCTAGAACTCTTCTAGCAGCCTCCAAGGTTCCTAAATCATACTGGGTTGAAGCTTTTGCCACAGCAATCTATCTAATCAACAGGATGCCAACAGCTACAAAATCATCTCCATGGGAATCTTTATTTCACAGACCTCCAGATTATACATCTCTGAAAATATTTGGATGTTGATGCTTCCTATGGTTGAAGCCTTATACAACTTCTAAACTTGATCCCAACAGCAAGGAATATGTCTTCTTGGGTTACAGTTTGAATCACAAAGGATACAAGTGTCTTGATCCCCTCACTGGCAAAATATATATCTTGAGACATGTGATTTTTAATGAAGTTACCTTTTCTTTTGTTCAAAAGGATCTTATTCAATAGTCAAGTTCAAGTTCTTCTCTATTGCAGCATAACAATACCGTTCCAACTACATTAACCTTTCCCACTATATCTCCTCCACCTCCCCCTACACCCCTACCTACATCTCTACCCACACACTCTCCTATCCATATATCTAATGCTCCATCAATGTCTGAATCTAATCATGTCTCTGTACCTATTCCCATTGTTGAACCTTCATTACCTCTCAATACTCATGCTATGCAAACCAGATCAAAGTCTGGTATTTTCAAACCAAAAGCTCTTCTAGCAACCAAATACCCTCTCCATTCTGATATATCTCCAGATTATACACCATCTACTTACCTTCAAGCATCCAAATACTCTCATTGGAGGCAAGCAATGCAGGAAGAATTTAATGCCCTCATTCAAACTAGAACTTGGTCTCAGGTCCTGCTACTTCTTCTCAAAATCTAGTTGGTGCAATATGGGCATTTAGAATCAAACGGAATCAAACGAAAACCTGATGGTACCATTGACAGGTACAAAGCCAGGCTTGTTGCCAAAGGATTTCATTAGCAACAAGGCTTGGACTACACTGAGACCTTTAGTCCAGTTGCTAAGCTAGTCACTATTATGCTTCTTCTCACTTTGGCTGCCAAGTTTGATTGGTTTCTCTATCAACTTGATGTAAGTAATGCCTTTTTACATGGCAACTTAGCTGAATGTGTGCTTATGATCCAACCACCTGGGTTTGAAGATCCTTCCAAGCCTAATCATGTCTGTCATTTACACAAGTCCTAGTATGGTTTGAAGACCCAGGGCTTGGTATGACAAGTTAACCACTGCTTGTCTCTTGGTTTATTGTCACTGGTCCCAATGCTCAACTCTATCAAGAAATCATCTCTTAGCTCAGTGCATTATTTCCTGTTAAAGATCTAGGCTCATTCCATTACTTTCTTGGTATTGAGGTCAAGATATCATCCTCTGGTATATTCATATCTCATAACAAGTATATCCTAGATCTACTAAAAAAAGCTCATATGGAAGGCTCCAAACCTTGTGTTACACCTCTCAGCATAGCTAAATTGGATCGTGAGTCTCCTCTACTTGATAATCCTAAGAATACATGTCCTTGGTTGGTGGATAGCAGTATTTAACCTGGACCAGGCCAAAATTATCCTTTACAGTGAATTTGGTATGTCAGTTCATACAAAGTCCAAGACAATCACACTTTCAAGTAGTCAAGCGCATCCTCAGATATCTAAAAGGCACATTGTCCCTTGGTTTATGGTTTCCAAAATGTTCTAAGCCTCACCCTCACTACTTTCTCAGATGCAGATTGGGCAGGGTGTAACATTGATCGAAGATCCACTGGTGGGTTTTGTGTCTATTTGGGAGACTCTTTTATAAGTTGGAGTGCAGAGAAACAACCTAATGTGGCTAGATCTTCCACCGAGACTAAATATAGATCACTTGCCAATACTGCAGCATAACTGAAATGGATTTGCAAACTATTGGTTGATGTTAGTTGATGTTGGTCTTGTTCTTCCTTCTTCCCCCCCCCCCCCCCAAAAAAAAACTTTGGTGTGATAATATTTCTGCCATTTCTTTGGCTAGAAATCCTATTTTCCATGCAAGAACTAAGCATGTGGAAATTGATTACCACTGTATCAGGGAAAAAGTGCTAGCAAAACACATGACTGTTCTATTTGTTTGTACTCAAGATCAAGTTGCAGATATCTGCACCAAAGCACTATCCAAGCACAGATTTCTCTTTCTCAGGGACAATCTCTCTTCGGTTACCTCAGTTAGGTTTGAGGGGGGATAATATGGGTAAAATTGTAAACAGTTGAGTTTGCTATAAGTAGGGATGGGCAAAATACCCATGGGTTTGGGTAACCGCGGTTACCCGCCCATTTAAAGTTAATGATTACGGTTATGGGTAACCGTTTAGACGAACAAACAGTTATGGGTATAACCGTTTATCCGTGAAATTTAAATGGGCAGTTATAACGGGTATCCATCGGTTATGGGTATTATCCGCGGTTATAACGGATATCCATTTACCCATTTAATTTAATATATGTAAAATTTAAAAAAAAATTAAAAACCTTAAATTTTCAATTTCTCCGCCAGAGTCTGAAACGCCCCATCCCCACTCATCTCTCCCTCCTTGCTGCCTTCTCTCTCATCTACGCCGCTCATCTCTCTCTCAAGATTCTTACCTCGAAAAGTGTCTCCGTGCGTTCCCCTCCTCTCTCTCTCTCGGTTTCTCTTTGATTTCAGTTTCCATATTTTCTTGCATTTTCTCAGAAACCAAACAGGGCAACAAATTTAATTTTTCTTTTTAACTCTTATTCGGTGCTGGGTTTTGATTGCTCATTATTTCAAGTTTCATGAATTGGGTTTCTCCAAGAACTGCGATATTTTTATGAATTTTTGTGCTTTAGCAATTGATGAAGCTTGAATTTCTATATAATTAATTACGTGTTAAAGAATAATCATACTTTTTTTTTTTTGTCAATGGAGAAAAAGGGGTCTAGATATGATTTTTACATGTTCAATTTATGCTGGGCAGCCTTCTAATTTGTATTTTATAGGATTAAGTATTATGTTTTCTATGGTTGATGAGCTAAAATGTAGAAAAAAATGGGTCTTCGTTAATGTTGTATATGTTGTGAAACAAAATGCAGTGTGTGACTGTGATGTTTAGTCGTCTATCGAGCCTTCGAAATCCCCGAATTTTGTAATTTTCAAGTTGTTAAAAAAAAAACATGTAGACGGGTGAAAAAAATGGTAAATGGTTATGGTTAAATGGGTAAACGGTTATGGTTATGGTTAATAGGTAAACGGTTATGGTTAAATGGGTACACGGTTATGGGTATGGTTAACCATTTATAAACGGTTACGGGTATGGGTATAGCCGTTTATGCAATTACTCAACGGGTAAACGGTTATGCGGGTATGAACATAAACGGTTATGGGTAAATAACCGCGGTTACCCATCCGCCATAACCATTGCCCATCCCTAGTTATAAGGTTGTTATAACAGTTTTGTAATTAGCTAGTGATTAGTTAGATAAAGATGTAATTAGTTGTTAGCACAAGTGAGTAAGTCACTAGTATATATATACACCAAACATGTAATCTTATTCTCTTATGAAATGAAAGTATATCTTTCCTATTATAAACATTCCATTTTCTACAGATTTTCCAAGAAATCTGAGAAATGTTATCAGCAGGGTTGAAGATTCAGAGATTACTATATGCCCGAAATAAAATTCTAACCTCAAATCCCACAAAAGTGGCTGCCCATTACATTGCAGATGGCTTTCCCAGGATGAAGGCTCTGACTGAACAACAATAACCATATCATAAAGAGCCTTTGCCTGATAATGCTTGTCCACCAACAATGGTTCACCATGAATGAACCAAAAAATTGGAACTTCTAGTGTAGACCGGCTATGGGCAAGCTTTCCTACATAGTTCGTTAAAAAAAGAATGCATGTCAATTTCAAAACATAAAATGCATTGGAATATCATCTCAAAAGATTTTAGAACAAGTATACGCAGGAGGTCATTTGTCAAACAATCAAGGAAACGAGTAAATGAGTGCGCGCACACACACATGTTTAGCTACAAGGGTCAAGATTATGATCTATCATAGAGTAGTGAATCAGAGCTAATCTCAAGCGTCTGGGTCAATGGGCATGTGTCATGCTAAAAAGCAACGGTCCAATATCCAAGTTACAAAAACCCCTCGGGGTCACCATCAAGAGATGTCCCCAGAACTAATGAGCACATGTCAGAAAACAGGAAAATTGTGTGTTCCAAGTATTGGTCGGTACTCTAGGAGGACTGAATATCTTGTGAAATTAAAATAAAATATAAAGACTCAATTATAGCCATTGCTTTGCCTAAAAAACAGTACCAATACAGTTTGTTACCAACATTATTCTACCAATAAGCATCTAGAAGAAGAAAACTTCCTTAATAACATATGAACCTAAATTCATTGCTAATATAAAAGTGTGATCTAAAATGTAAAACATTTGTTTTAGAAGTTGTCATATCGCACTATACTTGAGAGGTTTCTGAAACAAGACTGTATGAACTGGGCAGACAGAGCCTGGGGCAAACATAAGACAATCACTACAGATTGCACAGGTTATGCATGAAAAAGGCAGGTGAAAATGACCCAGAAAAGGCATCTTCAGTTAAAGAATTCCAAATAGTACATAAGGAGATCATTTTAATACATATTTAACCTTTTAGTGAGCCATGATCATTCAGTCTCTGCAACTGATGCTGAACAATGGAGGAATCGAGATAGGTACGGACAGATTTCCTGTAAGTTCCATTAACTAGCAACAGTGGTACAGCTGCAGCTCTTCGTGCCACTGAAAAGGCCATTGCCAAAGCAGGATCTTCTGAAAGTGGTAACCTACAATCTCTTCCACATTAATACAACTATGACCACAAAGAACTTGCATGGAAGAAAAAGACACCACAACAAAGTCCCAACCAACATTAAAATTCCGATTTTGATTGCATATGATACCAAATACATAACACCAATATCCAAAACGATTACCCATGCAAGAAAAGAAAAGTATCTGATATAAACTAGAAATCCAATGCAAGACAAACTTTATCACTAATTTGGACAAAAAAAGAACAATATTAGTTACATACAAGTGCTGACTGAAAGCAGGTTTTTGAGAGGGTAACAACAAAGAGGAAAGTCCATCCATAAGAGCCTTGAGGTCCACAGGCAACTGTTTAATGTGTCCAACTTTCTGCATTAATTAGTAGTTAGGAAGAGTGGTTGAAAAAAAATTCTGCACTAATTGTTGAAGCTTCTTTGAACTAATTAAGATACTCATACCTCCTGTGTGATGAAAAATAACTGAAATGATATCTCATCATAATAATGAAATGCACCATCTGCGATGGAAGGTGATATGATGTGTCTCATAGACCCCCACAAAGTTGCACCTAAATGTGAAAGAAAAGTATCACGTGCAACTGTGTAATTTTGAAACTCCTGCACAAGAATAAATAAAATTATATAAGAAATCGCTTCACATTTAACAAAGAAAAAAGATAAATAAATAAATAATAAAATATTCATTATCCAAGGGAAATTCAGTGTTCAGTGTAGAAATAACTGATTAGCAGAAGTCCCCAGTGGAAAAACAACTTACAACACCCCCTCCTTGAAAAACCAAATGGCATACCTCATGAGTATCACTGAATAAATTCCAATTCTCCATTCTCTTTAATGCCTCTATTGCCTTTCTCTTATGACTTTCGTCATATTCTTCACCTTCAAATGATTGGAGCTCATTTTTCAAGTCCCTCATTCTCTCATCAAGTTCTGAAATCAGCAAAGAAAAGGTACAAAAATCCTTACTTTTGAGCAAAATAACAATCCTAGGGCAAAATAACTCACATTGCAAACACCACCATGCTATCAAACATAATTGGTAAGAAAAAGAAACTGGTGCATTATGATGTTGCTCAGAAGAAGGGGATTACCTTCACACAGAGCAAGCTTTACTTTCCTGCCTTTGCAGTGTTTGAAAGCAAAAAGCTCGTATATATCAATCTCCGCAAGAAGAATATCAATGGCCTGATGATCTTTCTGCAAATCTCACAAGCACCACCAATTAAAACTCAAAGTGGGAAAAAAATCCTATAGTTCATTCCCCCTCTCCTTCCTCTCTACGCACACATGCTCACACATATATATGAATCATAGCTAGTTTCTCTCTTTCTCTTGCTTTCTCCCTCACTCCCAGACACAAAACTATATAGGGAAAGAGTAGCATCATTCTCCTTTTAGTTGGGATTACAATACATAAATCCGACAATTGATTAGTTGGTAAAAAAACAGCAACATTCTCCCTTTAGTTCAAAAACATGAAGATTACTGTCAAAATAAAATATTATGCACAAAATAATAAATGAGATTCAAATTGAGAAAAAAAAAGGATAAAATCATTTTTATCACAGAGTACATACATCACCAAATACAGCAAATTTTTCCTGAATAGCATCTTGTAAGCGATCTTCTGCTTCATCTTCTGAAATTTCTGCACACCCGACAGAATATTCAATACAAGCAGGGCAAGAATAAAATATGAAAATCTGCAAAGAATGAAAATATATGGATGCAGAATAAAATAATGGTCATGCTTACAGAATACAGGGCCACAAGAATTTTTCCTAAACTTCAATTTATGAAATAAAGTTTGCAAAGATGTGTCCTCTATGCCGTAAATTCCTTTCATAACTTTTATAAATCAAAGGTGTTTTCACTATCAAAACAAACTTTTGCGTTACTGAATGTAATTCATCCAAACAAAAATAATTGCTAAACCCTGTTTTCATATCTTTATTAGTTACAAATTAATGACTAAATAATTTCTCATCTGGCTCCTGTTTTTGCAAAGCATGATGCTTGAATGGGGACCTAAAATATTAATCTTTTAAAATATGAGCAGTAAAGATCAGCACACCCATATTAAACATTACCACATGATCAAGCATAATAATTTGATAATTACTGATGAAAGATTTGCAGTACCTGAAACTGCACCAATCGTTTTTTGCACATTGGGAGAACTTAGTTCTGTCCGAACACCTTCCCCACCAACAGCTGGTCCCCACGAGAAAGGACCTGCACTTAAATCAATAAAAGCCCACCTGATCCAGAATATATTATTAATTAGCATGAGTATGATGAAGGTGTGTATTTATTCCAGTGTTCATGTATGGATCTGCATGTGGACATCTGGATATGCATTAGGGAGAGAGAGAGAGAGAGAGAGAGAGAGAGAGAGAGAGAGAGAGACACACACACACACACACACACACACACACACACACTCACTCACACAGAGACAGAGGGATTTACCTCTCCTTTCCAATCCATGTATCTGTAAGACATTCACCATGAAGAACATTCGCATCTCCAGATTTTAGTTCCTTACTGAAAAGAAGCTTCATATCTTCATTCTTCCCTTTCAATAACTATAATAGAAAAAACCATTCTCATCAAACATGTATACGAAATAGTCAAAAAGATTTAATCTCTCAAGTTTTAGTTTTATTTTGCTCTGTCTTAGCAGTACACTCGTAGGACCAGAAAAAGGTATATATACCTGTAAAACTTTGTTCTGCACGATTTCCGCAGTTTCCTTTCCTTGATACAACTTTGCCACATTATTCAATGCCTCTTGGCATGCATTGTACCATTCCACCTGAAGAAAATAAGTGAACCATAATACTGTAAATTACCTTAGCGAGCTAATTTAAAAACAATGAAGAAAAAGATATATGCTAGCAAAAATTCAGCATCATGCTAGTTAAATAATAGCCCTTGCAGGAAGCAATGGAGAAATACGTAATCTATATTTAAGAAATATGACATGCATGGTGAATAGTGCACAAAAAGTAAGTATGAACTTCAACTTGAACTATATTTTATAAAGCATCTTTAGTTCAGAGGATACTCAATGTTCCCTAACCATATCTTTTGGAAACTCATTACACGAATTGGAGGAAAAAGTTCTTAAGAGGTTAGAATTTTTGTAAATGAGATTCCATCTTGATCCAAACAAAAGCAAACTTATTTTACAATCATTTATTGACAGCAAACATAATGTTACTTAAACAAGGAAAAAGTTCTTTTTCCCCTATAAATATCCCAAATGATTAAGATACACCATTTTGTTACTTGGAAATATCACTATCTCTTTACTGTTGCAACAAATACTTAGGATAATTGGGATGGGATACTTAGGTTTCTTCCTCTTGATCATGATACATCTAGTCACTCACTCCAGCCTTTCTCTTCAGCTGAGAGAGTAACCAGAGAGTGTTCCCATTCTTTTGATGCTTAGAAAATACAGAAACATATAGAATACTTGGGTTGTTTAACCATTCACTGATTGATTAAGCCTGTAGCAGATTAGACTTCTCAATTTTGTACTGCATTTGTCTGGTGTGGGAATAAACAATAGCAGACTTTAAAATTGAGTAGCCCAATCTAATTTCCATGAAATATGTTCACCATGTTGCACGAAAAACATGTTTGTATGTTGTCATTCACCAAGAAGTTTTTGTAATGTGATATGTTAGACATTATGGCATGTACCCGCTTGATGGAAACAAAAGATCCATATATATTCTTCCCATGTGTGGAGCAACAAACATAACCAGAGAGGGCCCAAATAAAATAAATCTGAAATTTTAGGATGTTCTACCCTTTACCAAAGGACACAGACATGATCATCTTCATCTTCCCTTTTCTCTATTATTATTAAACAATACATCCTCATGTTCCAATTATTTAACTAGCAAAACTCTAATGAAAAAATTCCTAGTCAGACAAACTACAGTGAATGCCACTACTTTCATCAATATAAGCAGGAGATGCAAGAGAAGGGGAAGGGGAGGGGGGGGAGAGAGAGAGAGAAATACTGTATCAGTGTCTTCAGTTACAGACCACGCAAACTTTGCCATTGGATGCTTCTCGTACAAAGGTCTCTTTATCTTATCAAGAGCTACAAAATTAAAATTTTGAATAACCTTATTCAGAAAACTAAAAATTGAATGTGCAGATAAATAAAAAGGTTGCATACAACTCCAGGAAAGAAAACATGCAAAAACAAAAAGTAAGTATCAGCTGAAAGAAAAAGGGGGGGGGGGGGAAGAGAAGAAACCAGAACATAGGTTTAGCATACCAAGAACAGTTTCCGGAATGCTTCCCGACTGAAGAATCTTGGTTTGCAAATTCTTGTTCTATAAAAGAAAAAAGATATTAAAGTTTCTCCTTAAAATATTAAGGAACCAACAGAGGAGTCAAAGAGAGCATGAACTATCTCGTCGAAAGAAGAATGATGTATAAGACATGTTAGAAGAATGACATTGGAAACAATAAAGCCAAGAAATAGAATAAAAAGTACACCTCTTTGAGAAATTTTATCTCTGACTCCGATAAACCTCTCCTGCAAAATAGAAAATAACTGAAAGTAAGAAAATCAAGCAACAAGTGTTTAAATAAATAGAAGGTACGAACACAGAATAAAAGAGGAGACTTGAAGGATTTAGCACTGTGATGCAGCTCTACTAATACGAACTTGACCCAGAGAAGAATTAAGATGTTCATTGCTCACTCCAGTTTGAGCAGAAATTGTCGTTCAAAGATACTGAAAAGCTTCTATTCAGTTATTCAGTACTACTAACACAATGTCACAATATAAATCTAACTAGTTGATATTAGGAAGAGTCGAAGGTGGAAAAAAGTTTTAAAGTAGTTCTATCACCACAAAGCTTAAGACCCTCATTATTTCTTTCAAAAGAAGATTACATGTCCAGTATAAAGAGTAAGGGAGACGCATGGGCCACACGTATGGTTGGAGATACTTTAGCCACATCTTAACCCATGGTTCAAGAACAACGCAATCAAGAAATTCCGCCCCCCGAATTGGATAAATGCATAAAGATCTCTTTCGGTTTTTATCCTAACAAAGGGAAGGCTATAGTAACTGCTTAAGAGTAAAATCATGGGCAGTAAACAAACTACTGAAAGGCACCATACCTCCGTAAATGCAAATTTTAATTAGGAAAAAGGTACATCATTCTAGCTTTGTGAAGAAAACTGTTCTGTTCCATGATTGCATTAATACTGGAAGTGAAATGATTATCATAACAATTCCTTCATTTCTTCTACAGCATATGATATTCCACTCAATTATGTTGTAAAGCAGATGTTTTATGTTTCAGTATACAGTCCTTTTAATATTTGATTGGGGCCTATAAAAAATTTGGTTACATAAACAAATAAGCCATCATATATATCCAAGTATCTAAACTATCTCTATATTGTGTTAGAGGCACTTCATGACAACTTATGTCAATCTGAAACCCAAAGACACCAAGAAGACCTCATGTAAAAGACGTCAACTTTGAAGCTTGAGGTAGGTCCGGTTTATGTATGAGTTACAGTGCTCTCACTTCTAATGAACATTAAAATAGAAGTAATTCCTAATATACGCACCGGTAACCATATTTAGCTTTTTTTGAGTCATGCTTGGGATTCAAGATGAAAACATTATATGCATTTTCAAGTTCAAGATATCCAACAAGGCTAGTGAAAAGAACATCCATCATGTCCACATCTACTTGCCACAAAACACCACTGCCATCCCTGTACACAATAAAAACATATGAATCAATCACTGAAAACAGCAATAAAGAGAAAACTCAAAGCTGCCAAACCAATCTGAACCATGCTAGTTCAACACAAACCAATTGAACTAAAAGAAGAAATGGATATACAGAAAAACACACTCTTTTACCCAAATATGCAGATTAATAAGAAAAGAAATACAGAAGGAAGCCCAATCCTTCTCAAATCGAGCAGCCAGATGTACGAGGAAAAAGAACACATATAGGATGATGAAATTACCTGTTACCATATGCATCATCCTGACGAGAGAAAACATCTATGGCTTTCTCAAATATTGAAGTAACCTTTTCACCCATTTGTATTGCATGAACAGAAAAACTGTAAGAATCACATTCGTCATCAATTTGTCATATAACAGCAATAACTAAAATTAATAAGTTCCTACAAAGCAGATAAAAAGTACCAAGAGGTATTACTTGTAGTTTATGTGACTGACAATGGGAAGATGGTGTCGTTGTTCTTTATCAACACTAATCCTGTAAAACGGAGTGAGGACTTCTCCAATTTGGGGAACCCGTGTATGTTCAAAGATATGATCAATTTTTGTAAACCACCGCTCAAGTTCCTCAGGGTGAAGCTTGAAACCTAAAAATATATTGACAGGAAGAACCATTAAGGAACATGCAACCATTTTAGTAAACAAAAGAAACACAAAATTGATAACATGAAAGAAGAAAATGAACACCGAATTTATATACCTTGATTTCCTTTCCCATCAAATCCAATAAAAATGAAATTCACAGGGACAGGGAGGTACATAGAATCAACTTCCAGAAGCTTGAGATAATTTGCAATATTCCCTGGAACAAGATAAAAAAAAAAGAGACATGGATTGATACTTTCATTTAGAACTGAGAGACGAAAGTTCTTATCTTTGTTCTCGAGTGGTCTACCAAACCAGGAGAACAACTCTTTGTTGAAATAGAAGAGAAAAATAGCTTGATGTGCTTAGGGCTTACGATATGGAGAACCATATCAACGTTCATAGACAAAAAAGAGTTTTTATATAATATTTTGAAAAGAAACGGACTTCAATTGCAACGTGTATGCTATGGTATCTACAATCTGAATATATTGAGCCTACAATACAAAACCAGACCTCTCAAATAGAGCTAGTTACAAAAGCCTCAAGACTTGAAACCTAAACTCATTTCTATAACTCAACATCCCAGCTCCTTAGCTTTACATGACTCAAGGACACATGCAAGAAACAGCAATGGGATCTATCACCTTTTCTTATAAAAGTAAAACCATAAAAACAACTGCCGATCATTAAATGTCACTCCATCATAGAACTGTGTGCTCTATAAGCAACAGTAATCAATTATTGAATTACTCGGCACCTAAGTTCAAACAAAATTAATTATGTTATCAACAGACACAAAATCGCTGAATATGCCACTGGCAGATAACTTTCATTATTTCCAAAAGTTTGAAAGAAAAAACACATCACTTTAAAAGTATGCCTTGTCTTCGAATCCAGGACCCATAAAACTTAAAGAACTCCTTTCTTTCATTTTCTCTGCCCCAAAAAACTAATCAACTTTCAAACCAGTACACAAAATAAAAAACCTGCAAACTTGAGACATAGAGAGAGTATCTATAAATATATTATTTTATTTTTCTTTAAAATATATTATTTATTGCTTTGCTTTCATTTTTTTTTTCATACACAAAAACAAATAATAAAATAAAAACGTCAATTGACAAGAGGCTAGTAGGCTTTAAAACAAAATCCAATGATTATCTCATTCACTGTTAGTTCAACCGAAAGATAAGATGCTGGCTGTTCTACTTTATCCTAATATCATAACTATTTTCCTTGGAGAATATAAATAAATTAAATCAACAATGAACCATCCTCTATAGAAGTTATCACAATTCCCTATCCAAAGTTTACCAAAACTAACAATCAATAATGACCATGTGTGCATAAATATTGCTAACAAGGGCCACTATAGAAGTTTTCTAACTCCTACCTGCATTAGTGAAGTTGGCAACACCCTTTTTTCTGGGACTGGAAGATTCCAAATCATCAAAATCTGAAAATTAACAAAAACAATGACATTAAAGGAAATAAAGCAAGTCATTCCTTAACATAATTGAGCAAAAGGTGTGTTTAATAAAAGAGAACAAGCAGTCCTACCACCACGTATGACAGCCTCACTCCAAAACCTACTCTTCTCTTTAAGGTTAAATAAAGAGAAGACTGATGACTTGCTGCTTTTACCAATTCCAGAGGGAGATCCAGCAGATGCAGAAGCCAAGAACTGAAAAAAAATGACACCAACAATCAGGATAACATGCATAATCTCATCCTTTAGTCCAACCACAGAGAGAGAGAGAGTGTATGTGTGGGTTTAACATTCATCTGCTATTGTTTAAAAGAAATTTAAGCTTCTATAACTCATAATGATATTCATTGAAATTAGTCAGGTGTAGAAATCCATTGAAAAAGATAAATGAACCAATGGTTATTCAGAGGTAGTAATTATGGGTAGCGATACAATCAGATCAACCAATACTATATCATCTACAAAAAGCATACACCAAAGGATATCATCTTGAATAGAGCTCAAGGGAAAGTTTTATAGGACGGCAATAAGGCCAACAATGCTTTATGGCACGGAGTGGTCAAGCATCAACACATGTAAAAAAATAGTGTAGCAGAGATGATGATGCTTCGTTGGATGTGTGGGCACACAAGAAAGAACATGATTAAGGACGAGGATATCCAAAGTAAAGTAGGAGTGGCCGCAACTGAAGACAAAAAAAGGTCGTACCCAGTGCACAAGGCTCCCGCTTTACGCAGGGTCTGGGAGAGGTGAATGTCGACTAGCCTTTCTCCCATTTATGGAGAGGCTGCTCCTCCAAGTCTCGAACCCGAGACCTACCGCTCATGGCCGAAGGCACTTGCCATCGCACCAACTGAAGATAAGATTAGAGAAAATCGGTTGAGGTGGTTTGGACAAAACGAAGACCTATAGATGCTCTAGTTAGAAAATGTGATTATAAGACATAAGACTTAGACGGAGATTTTGAGAAGAAACATGGAGTACTTGGAACTAGCAGAAGACTTGGCAAAGTACCGAGCGCAATGGCGGTCTAGGCCGACCCCACTTAGTGGGATAAGGTTTGTTGTTGTTGTTGTAATCTTCCCAAAAGTTCCATCCCATTTACATTTTCACCAGATGAACATGTGGGTTTTGCTCCAGTGGGAAGATGTAAATTTAAATTTGTGTCCGCCTCCTATTCAACTCACAGGGCTACTGCCTTCTTTTCTGTCTTGGAGATGTAAGTTTACATAAACATTTATATATTCCGGCCAAGATGGGTATTAAAATTCCCAATTGGAGAGTTTTACAGCCAACAAGAGACGTATATGTGTGTTTACACATCTCCATATACACAGATGCTGTAAGTCCATCACAACTAAGAATACATTATGTTTCCCCACACTCACACTGTTGTATAAATTGAATGTCACTAATTGGGCTGCTGAGCATTTCAAATAGAGATTTGCTTTTTCTCTCTCATTTCTAGGTTTAGCATTTAGGGTTTAAAATCAGCAAAACAGTAAGACTATCAAGCCCTTAAGCATCTGCATATTAAATCAATAATTTCCTAATCCCAGAGCAGAGATTAATACATAGAAAGAAAAAACAACAAATACATATGCTTTGTAAATGCATAGAGTGAGTGTGGAGAGAGATATAGAGAGAGAGAGAGAGAGAGGACAGACCAGTAAAAAAGTGGAAATCATGAGGATGATTGAAGGCAGAGGAGGAAGCGATCCCCGACGAAAACAAAGACGAAGACAAGAATCCATCTCTTCCGGAATTGAATTACGGGCGGCTACCGTCGCCAAACAGATTTGCTACTCCGGATAAAAATGCCCACGCAGCGCAGACGCAGACGAACCAAATAAAAAATATTAACCAATAAAGGAAAAATAACTCTGCATTAAAAGAAAATAGAAAATGATCTCTCAGACCATCTCCAACCCTGGGCTAAAAGCCAAATTACTCCCCAAATTACCCCCAAACACTCTTCAACCCATGCTAAAATTTTAGGCTAAATGCCAAATGCTATTTCTGGGCCAAATACCCCCCAGCTTTCCCCCGGACTAAATGCGAAATGTTTATCGGAATTTAAATTTTTTTAGATTAAAATGTTCATAAAATTAATTTACAATAATCTACATATTTATTTTTTTTTAAATTGATTTAAGAAAAAAAATTAGGCTAATTTCATTCTTTAATAATTCCGGGCTAAAATTTTAGGGTAGAAGGGTTGGAGCAGAAAAGATGTTTCTGGGCTAAAAGCTAAATTTTCTGGGCTAAAAAATTTGGCTTTTAGCCCAAGGGTTGGAGATGGTCTCAGTAGTCAGTACACGTCATATGCGTTGATTTGATAAAAAAATATATGCGTTGACGTGGAGCGGACAAGTATCCTGCATTTTTATCTTAGGTAAATTACACTTTCATACATTAGATTTGGTGTCTATTTCAATTTCTTACAATATCTTTAAAATATTTCACTTTCATACTTTAAGTACTATTTTATTTCAAAATAATACTGTAGACATCGAAATTTCGGTAAATAAATGTTGACCGATAAATCAAAGTGTCAACGCTCATGTATTACATAAATGTTACACGTAGCATGTGAGTCAAAGAAAATTGAAATGAGTTGGAAAAGTCATCAAATAGGACACGTGTCAACACCTGGCAGAAACGACTTATTTCATCTGGAATATTATATTCAAAATTAGGCATTGGAAAATTCTATAAATACAAGCCCATTTCATTCATTTGGGGGAACCAATTCATATTACACCTTGAAGCTCTGAAGCTCTGAAACTCCGAAGCTCTCAAGCATCCAAGTTCCCGAAGAATCAAGAAAGCCTTCTTCGTTCTTCGTTCATCGTTCTTCCAAGATCAAGCCCCGACGGCCCTTGAAGAAAGTGTTCTTCGTTCATCGTTCTTCCAAGATCAAGCCCCAACGGCCCTTTGGATCAATAACATCACCAAATCCACATAACTGTTCATCCTAAGATCAAGCCCTAACGGTCTTTTGGATCAACAACATCAACAAATCCACACAATTGTTCATCCTAAGATCAAGCCCCAACGGCCCTTTGGATCAATAATATCACCAAATCCACATAACTGTTCATCCAAGATCAAGCCCCAACGGCCCTTGGATCAACAACGTCGACAAATCCACACATCCAACCGTTCTTCAAGATCAAGCCCAAAAGCCCTTGAAGATCCGTTCATCACTGTTCTTCAAGATCACCAAGCCCAAAAGCCCTTGGAGATCCGTTCATCACTGTTCTTCAAGATCAAGCCCAAAAGCCCTTGAAGATCCGTTCATCACTGTTCTTCAAGATCACCAAGCCCAAAAGCCCTTGGAGATCCGTTCATCACTGTTCTTCAAAGATCAAGCCCAAAAGCCCATTCAAAGATCCGCTCAAATCCACATTCAAGATCAAGTCCACGGCCCTTGAAGAACGTTCATCCTTAGATCAAGCCTAACGGCCCCCTTTGGATCAATCATACACCCACAAATACACACCTTACGGAGATCGAATCAGAGGATCAAGATAGAGAGAGATTGTAACCCAAAATCATCAAATACAAATATTTGTTTGTGCACGTTGTTCTTGTCTCTTTCGTTTCAGGAATTTTCCGTGTTCACAAATTGGCACGCCCGGTGGGATAATCTCTACCTCTCATCTCTTCCCCCGTTCAAGGAATATAAGCACACTTCCAAAATCAATGACGTCAAGGAAGGCTCAAGCTGTTCCCATAACCGGCGCAAAGAACAAAGGCGCCCTCGTCGCAAGTGGTGTCACGTTGGGTATCACGACTCGAAGCAAAGCAAAAGCTACTTCTGCCACCTCTTTCACCTCTGCATCAACTCTGCCATGGGAACGAGAGTACCCCAGGCACGAGCCTGTGATCACCTTAGCCTCACTAAGGGCACCAAGGGGGGAAAAACCAAGGGAATACTCCGAATCCATGCTCTCCGATGACGATTCAAGCGGCAGTTCAGCCATGCAAGTCATGACCGCTGGAGCAACTTCAATCGAGGAACAAATTGCTCAAATGAATGAAGCAATCGCAAGACTAACTCGAACTGTGGAGGAAAAAGACTTGCAAATCGCAGCATTAGTCAACCGACTGGAGGCGCAGGACAGCGAGAAACCCGACCCAGAGGATGATCCACTAAAGAGAGTTGGCGGGGACGAAGAACCCCCGGTGAAGAAAATCGATGGAAAGCCGAAACCAGACCCAGCAGCGGCGCTCATGGGGTCTCTTTCTATCCAGCAGCTGCAGGAGATGATCACCAATACCATCAAGGCACAGTACGAAGGGAGCTCATATACCTCCGGGTTGTACTCAAAGCCGTATTCAAAGAAGATCGACGCCTTGAGGATGCCGAGGGGTTATCAACCACCAAAGTTCATGCAATTTGATGGAAAGGGAAACCCGAAACAGCACGTCGCCCACTTCGTTGAAACTTGCAACAACGCAGGAACCGAAGGGGATTACCTCGCCAAACAGTTTGTGCGCTCGCTGAAAGGAAACGCCTTTGAGTGGTACACGGATCTGGAGCCTGAGTCCATCAACAGTTGGGAGCAATTGGAGCGGGAATTCCTCAACCGCTTCTACAGCACCCGCCGCACTGTGAGCATGCTAGAGCTAACAAGCACAAAGCAGTGGAAGGACGAGCCAGTCATGGATTACATCAACCGATGGCGTAACCTAAGCCTCGACTGTAAGGACAGACTCTCCGAGATTTCTTCAATCGAGATGTGCATCCAGGGCATGCAATGGGGTTTACAATACATCCTTCAAGGTATCAAACCACGCACTTTTGAAGAATTAGCCACCCGTGCCCACGACATGGAGTTGAGCATCGCCCACCACGGAAAGAAAGAGCCAATCACCGATTTCAAAAGGGATAAGGTGTTCACTTCAAGAGCAGACAATCATGGAAAAAAGCCCGCCAAGGAAGCTTTTACCACCAATACCACCCCTATCAAGACCTCGTCCGCGCCCGTCAAAATCTCTTTCAATAAAGCAAGGGAGACAAAAAAAGGTGAGCCTTCCCACACCCAAGATAGGTACAAAAACACCTTGAGGGAATTGGAGCAAAAGGTATACCCTTTTCCGGACTCCGACATGGACGCAATGCTGGACGACCTGCTGGAGAAGAAGGTGATTGAGTTACCCGAATGCAAACGCCCTGAAGAAATGAATCGCATCAATGATCCCAAGTACTGCAAGTACCATCGTATCGTGGGTCATCATGTGGGCAAGTGTTTCATCCTAAAAGAACTCATCATGAAGCTGGCACAACAAGGACAGATTGAGCTCGACCTAGAAGACACAGCTGCGACGCACACTACTACAGTCGTGTTCGGATCCTTTGATCCCGTGCTTCTTCAAGAAATGCCTGACCATGCCCGGCAATACTCAAATCACTCTGCACATTCTGCACCACCATCACTGGGGGCAAGCAACCAGGACGCACCTACTGACGATGACAAAGGATGGACATTGGTAACCTATAAGAGGACAAGGAAACCAAAACCGCAAGCTATAAAGCAAAAGGGGGAACAAGGGAAAAAGCACCGCCGTCGCGGCAATAGGAAGCCTAAGAGAAACATAAGAGCTACTAAGCCAATATATGCTGGGGAACCTGCGGAGCAAAAGCCACGCATTCCCGTCTTATTGCACGAGTACTTCCCGGAGGACTTCTTCCAACATTGCACTATCACCGCATGTCACATGGTCGAAGTAGAAATGGAAGAACCCTCAAAGGAAAAAATTGTCGCCGCTAAGGGAGAAAATACTCCGACACCTGAAGAAGGTCTGCCAATACACTTTAGCATCGAGGAAGCGCTACAATTGCCAAAGAAGATACGAAGGGCGTTGGCAACGGTTCTAGCGAGTTCAAACGACCACGAAGTGCAAGAAAGCAAGAACGAAGGCTTGAGCCTTTGGCCACACGAGTGTGCCACATGCTGTGCCGCCGATGACACAATCCACTTCGCCGACGAAGACTTGCTGCTAGGATCCAAGCCTCACAACCGACCTCTCTTCGTCTCTGGGTACGTAAGGGAGCACAAAGTCAGCCGCATGCTTGTGGACGGTGGGTCAGCCATAAATATCATGCCAAAGTCAACAATGACCGCAATCGGCATCAAGGTAGATGAACTATCCCTAAGCCGTCTACTAATCCAAGGTTTCAACCAAGGAGGACAAAGAGCGATGGGCATGATCCGAGTGGAGATGACCATTGGTGAACTCAAGTCAAGCGTGATGTTCCACGTGATTGATGCAAGAACTTCCTACGGTCTGCTCTTAGGAAGGCCTTGGATCCATGCGAACGGAGTAGTACCGTCCACCCTTCACCAATGTTTAAAATTTTACCAAGAACGAGTGAAGGTGATCTATGGCGACACCAAGCCATTCACCGAAGCCGAATCACATTTCGCAGACGCCAAGTTCTACATGAATGAAGACACGGTGCCCGAAACTCTTCCAAAAGAGATTAAATCCATGAGCAAAGCAGCACCTAAAAAACAGGAATGGCAAGCGATGCCCAAGAAGCAAGAAGAAGAAGCTATGCCATCTTCAAGCAAAAACGACGATGAGTTTTCTAAACCTGCAACAACCAGAGGAAGTAGGACGACCTCAAATGGACCAAGCGTACCCGTCTTCCGATACATCCCGACGTCGAGAAGAAAGAATGGTCAATCCCCGTTCGAAACTGCAGCGAGCAAAGCCGATGCACAGTGGCACATAGATAATGTAAAGTTGCTCAAAACAAATGCAGTTTTGCCTCTGACCCAGCTAGGCGACACTAAGGATGCAAAACCGTCACAGGGCTTCGTAAAAAGCCTGCCAAAGGGGGTAGAAC